ATTTATTGTAGAGATGAGGTCTCGCCAATTTGCCCAGGTGGGTCTCGAACCCGCGGGCTCAGGCAATCTACTCACCTCAGCCTCCCAAAGCACTAGATTACAGACTGAGCCACCAAGCCCGGCTGAATTTGGCGGATTTAAAAGAATGTTAGTATGCTTTGTTTTGCCAGATAATTTCAGCAGATTATTTATACCTAAAACAATGTAAGCATTGCCAGATTACAAACAGTGCTTTTGGGCTGTCCCCCTTCAAGGCTTGCAGATGAGAGAAAGAGAAAGTAGGTGGAGTTCCAGGTCATCAAGAGTGAAGACTGGGTGACTTACAGGGATATGTGAGCAGTTGGGAGAAAGGTCAGTGTCCTTGACCTTGGTACCATGGCATTTGATTGAGCAACTCACCTGGCATTCTTCTGTGTATTTTCAGCTCCTATGGCTATTGAGGAGCAGGTGGCTGTTATCTATGCGGGTGTCAGGGGATATCTGGACAAGTTGGAGCCCAGCAAGATCACCAAATTCGAGAATGCTTTCCTGTCTCATGTCATCAGCCAGCACCAGGCTTTGTTGGGCAATATTAGGTATGAACATTCTTAATGGCCTGTTTTTGTAAAGTTACATTTTTGTTGGACTCAGGCGATCCTTCCACCTCAGTCTTTCAAGTAGCTGGAACTGCAGGCGTGTGTCACCATCCCCAGTTAATTTTTTGATTTATTGTAGAGATGAGGTCTTGCCAAGTTGCCCAGGCTAGTCTTGAACCCCTGGGCTCAGGCAGTCCTCTTGCCTCAGCCTCCCAAGGCATCTGGGATTACAGGTGTGAGCCACCACACCCAGCTTAGAGTTACATTTTGAGATATAAAGTCTTGTTAAAATTCTTCAGTTAGGTTAGTCATTGAGAGTTATTCAGGTCAGAACTGATGAAATCTGCTTTTACTTCCAAACAGGGCTGATGGGAAGATCTCTGAAGAGTCAGATGCAAAGCTGAAAGAGATCGTAACCAATTTCTTGGCTGGATTTGAAGCATAAACTCCTATGGATTCCTATGAAATGCCAGTTTGTTTTTGTTGTTTATTCTAGTAAATCAGTTGCATTTGTAAAAGGATTACTCTCAGTCCCAATGTACAGATCACGGTAAAAATAAAGGTTCCATGTTGAGTGGGGTTTTTTGTGGTTTGTAGTCTTTTTTTTTTGAGTTGGAGTTTCACTCTATCACCCAGGCTGGAGTGCAGTGGCATGCTCATGGCCACCACAGCCTCAACCTGCTGGGCTCAGGTGATATTCTGTCTCAGCCTTCCAAGTAGCTGGAACCACAGGTGTGTACCACCATGCCCAGCTAATTTTTCTGGTTTATTGTAGAGATCAGGTCTTGCCATGTTGCTCAGGCTGGTCTTGCACCCTTGTGCTCAAGCAATCCTCTCACCTCTGCCTTTCAAAGTGCTGGGATTACTGGCATGAGCCACTGTACAGCCATGGTTTGTATTCCTTAAAACAGGTCACATTGTGGAATTGGTAAACATACTTCTTCACCTGTTTTACTTGTATATCAGTACAATCAGCAGGGCTAGATGGTTCAAAACTGAGGTCTTTGCTAGATTCAAGAGTGCTCTTCAATCAGAAATTTTTTGTTTGTTTTTGGTTTTGTTTTTTTTGAGTTGGAGTCTCACTCTGTCACCCAGATTGGACTGCTCCCGGCCACTGCAGCCTCGCCTGCTGGGCTCTGGCAATCCTTCTGCCTTAGCCTTCTGAGTAGCTGGAATTACAGGCTCGCGCTACCATGCCCGGTTGATTTTTTGATTTATTGTAGAGATGAGGTCTCGTCAAGTTGCCCAGGCGGGTCTCGAACCCGCAGGTTCAGGCAATCCACTCAACCTCAGCCTCCCAAAGCACGGGATTACAGTCTGAGCCACCGAGCCTGGCATATTCATAGAGAAATTTATGAAGGGGATAACTGAGTAAATGTGACAGATGGATAGGATTGAAGAACACAGCTGGCCTTTCTGCCCAGAAGGTCCTGTAGGTAGGAAAAGAACAGGATAGCTGAAATCCTCCAGAGAATGGACAGTTGCTAAGTGAAGTATGAGGATCGGGGACAAAAACAGCAGATAGAGTGCATGGAATGATAAAAACTTGTTAGCATCTTCTAGTGGTATGTCACAACCCTTTCTGAGCAGCAGTTCTTAATTTTTTTTACTAAGTAAAAGATTTGCTTTTGTCATCTAGGAGCTTAATTCACGTGTTAGAGTTCTCCAGAGAAATAGAACCAATAGTATGAATGTTTATATGTTTATAGACACACACACACACACACACACACACACACACCCCAGGGCCAGGTGGACAGGAGAGGACAGGCTGGAGATCTAAGGCCTCAGCTTTCAGCTGGCTGAGGTGCACCCATGTTGTGGAGGGTAATACGCTTCCCTGAGAAGCTACTGATTAAAATGTTAGTTAACATCTACAAATAGCTTCACAGCAGCATCCAGACTGGTGTTTGACCAAAACTTGGGTGCTGTAGTGTGATACTGTGATAGAATGAGAAGTTGATATTTTAGTCTTTTCATTTCTTGGCACTCAGATCCTAAAACTTGGAATCTAGGTTGTGGGAAGTGGCTGAGGATCCCTGGATAACCTTTAGATAGAGCCTTGTTGCCAGGGAAGCCAGTCATAAAATGAGAGGGAAGTGTTTTGTTTTTTAGAAAGCAGGAATTATTGAGAGGACAAAAGCTCCCACAGTGGAAGGGGGACCCAAGGGGGTTGCCCGGAAGTTTTTTTTTTTGCGTTGTCTCTTATCACTCAGGCTGGAGTGCAGTGGCATGCTCAACTGTCACCTCATCCTCAACTTGCTGGGCTCAGGCAATACCTCTGCCTCAGCCCTTCAATTAGTGGAACTATATTGGTGGCCACCACACCTGGCTAATTTTTTGATTTGTAGAGACCAGGTCTGGACAAATTGCCCAGGCTGGTCTTGAACCCCTGGGCTCAGGCAGTCCTCTTGCCTCTACCTCCCAAAGTGCTGGGATTGCAGGTGTGAGCTGCCGCACCTGTCAAGGGTTGGAACTTTAATGCTGTCCTCCCCACACTGGGGAGGGAGTTTGCAGGGTCATCAATTATACCTATGTGATGAAGACTATGTAGGAATCCAAATTGTTCCAAGGCTTCCAGGTTGCTGGGACTGGTGTGCTCAGTGGACATGGGCCCTCCAAGCCCCTCACATACCTTGCCCTATGCATATCTCCCATTGGCTGTTCCTGAGTCATTATTTTACAGAAAACCTGTAATCTAGGAAGCAAAATGCTGACTGGGTGCAGTGGCTCAAGCCTGCGATCCCAGCACTTTGGGAGGCCGAGTTGAGAGGACTGCTTGAGCCCAGGGTTTTGAGACCAGCCTGAACAACTTGGTTGAAACCTCGCTTTTACAATAAGTTAAGAAAAATTAGCCGGGCGTGGTGACGTATCCCTGTAGTTGCAGCTACTTGGAAGGCTGAGGCAGAAGGATCACCAGAGCCCAGCAGGTCGAGGCTGCAGTGGCTGTGAACGTGCCGCTGCACTCCAGTCTGGGTGACTGAGTGAGTCTCTGACTCAAAAATAGCTTTTCTGAGTTCAATGAACTGTTACAGCAAATGGTCAAACCTGAAGTGGTGTTGTGGGAACTAGTTACAGCATGCCTGTCAGAGCCCAGGTGCAGCGTGGATTTACAGTTTCACTGGAGTGCGGAAGGTCTTTGGGCACCGAGCCCTTAACCTGTGGGACATGAGGCTATTTCCAGGTAGTGTCAGAATTGAGTTAAACTGTGGAACACCCAGTTGTCTACAGAGAAATGGAGAGCTGCTTGATGTTGGAAAAACCCATACATCTGGTAGTGGCAGTGAAATACCAAGAGTGGTACGTGTACAGAAGAAAGAATGGTTGACTTTTCCTATGTATGTCACCCAATCAAGCTGACCCCAAACCACATCCATTTGTAGCGTTTTTTTCCTGTCAGGACAAGGTCTTGCTATGTTGCCACAGCTGGTCCCGAATCCCTGGCCGCAATCCTCTCACCTCAGCCTCCCAAAGTGCTAGGATTACAGGTGTGTGCCACCACACCCAGCCAGAAGTTGGTTTTATATAGAGGTAAATCTGAATATTTCAGCTCCGTGTAGTAAATGGCTCCTCTCCCACTTACCCGACATGGGGCCTTTGCCATATTTAAGTTTCACCGGTTCCTGGGTCTTTCTGGTTTCTAGTTTCTCCTTTTATTTATTTAACGTTATTTTGAATATGGGTCTCACTCTGTCGCCCAGGCTGGAGTGCAGTGGCATGATCACAGTTTACTGCAGCCTCTACCTCTTGGCTCAATCCTTCAACCTCAGCCTCCCAAGTGACTGGGACTACAGGCACACGCCACCTGCCTGGCTAATTTTTTGTTGAGATGAGGTCTTGCTCTGTTGCCTAGGCTGATCTCAAACTCCTGGGCTCAAGCAGTCCTCCCCCCTTGGCCTCCCAAAGTGCTGGGATTATAGGTGTAAACCACCGCACCTGGCCAAGGAATTTGTTTCTTAGAATTACAGGGGTTGAGAAGCACAAGGTCAAGAGGCTGAATCTGGTGAGGGTCTTCTTGCTGGGACTTTGTTGAGTCTGGAGGCCACACAGGGCATCACACGGAGAGGGGCTGAGCGTGCTGGCTCTGATCTCTCTTATAATACAGCCATCAGCCATCGGTCTCACTGATGACCTGGTCACCTTTTTTTTTTTTTTGAGTTGGAGTCTCTCTCTGTCACCCAGACTAGAGTGCAGTGGCATGCTCACAGCCACTGCAGCCTTGACCTGCTGGGCTCAGGCAATTCTCCGCCTCAGCCTTCTAAGTAGCTGGAAATATAGGCATGTGCCACCACATCTGGCTAATATTTTTGGTTTATTGTAGAGACAAGGTCTCACCAAGTTCCCCCAGGGTAGTCTTGAGCCCCTGAGCTCAGGCAGTCCTCTCACCTCTGTCTCCCAAAGTGCTGAGCGTACAGGCGTGAGCCATCTCACTCAGCCTAGTCACCTTGTAAAGGCCCCACCTCTCAAAACTGGCACATTGGAGATAAATTCCATCCGTTTGAAAGGGACACTCAATCCATAGCATGCAGGACATGTCCTCACTTGCTGATAATCATCATAAACAGTTGACTTGTCTTTTTATTCATAGTACACGTCCCAGTGATGAGCTTTATTTAATAAAAGAGCAATGAATAATATTTTCCGGCAGTGTGGACAACTGTTTGCAATCTGCAATTTTGCCACCAGGTGGTGGAAGGGGGTTAAAATGCAGGGCTTTGGGGGGTGCTGTGTCACAAAAATCAAGAAGTGTGCGAACCATAAGCACTTGGGATAATTTCTAAAACTTTAAAAATAATGCATGTATTAAAAAAGCTAGATGTAGACAAGTGTATCCAAAACATTTGACCCAAATACTTAACAACTTTCAGGAAAAATCTTGGTGCTATCTTCTGCTCTGTCACCCAGGCTGGAGTGTAGTGGCAAGTTCATGGCCAACACAGCCTCAATTTGCTGGGCTCAGGCATCCTTCAGCCTCACCATCCCAAGTGGCTGGGACCTACAGGTGCGAGCCACCATGCCCGGCTAACTTTTTTAGTTTGTTGTAGAGATGAGTTCTCTCCAAGTTGCCCAGGCAACTCTCCAACTCCTGGGCTCAGGCAGTCCTCTCACCCCTGCCTCCCAAGGTGCTGGGATTCCAGGCGTGAGCCACTGTGCCATGCTATCTTTTTTGTTTTGTTTTGTTTTTGTTTTTTTGAGTCAGAATCTCACTCTCGTCCAGGCTGGAGTTCAGTGGCATGATCACAGTCACCGCAGCCTCGACCTGCTGGGTTCAGGCAAGCTTTCCATCTCAGCCTTTCAAGTAGCTGGAACCACAGGCACAGGCCACCATGCTCGGCTAGTTTTTCTTGATTTATTGTAGAGATGAGGTCTCACCATGTTGCCCAGGCTGGTCTTGAACCCGTGGGCTCAGGCAGTCCTCTCATCTCGGGATCCCAAAGTGCTGGGATTATAGTCATGAGCCACCGCATCCCGCCGGCTGTCTGTTTTTTTAAAGGCTTGGAGTGCAGTGGCCCAATCACAGCTCACTGTAACCTCGACCTCCTGGACTCAAGTGATCCTCTCGCCTCAGCCTCCCGAATAGCAGGGACTACAGGCTCGCGTGCTGCCACGCCCGGCTGATTTTTAATTTTAATTTTTGTGGGGCAGGGTTTCACTATGTTGCCTAGGCCTCAAGGGATCCTCCTGCCTCGACTACTCAAAGCTCTGGGATCACAGGCGTCATCACGGCCTCCCGCATTAGCCTGCAGATCGCCGCTTGGCGCCGCGGGGCTGTAAGCGGGCCTGGGTCCTCCCCCCTCCCCTGCCGCACCCCTGTCCGGGAGCGCGCGGGCCCCTCTCCAGGTCCCCCGCGCGGAGGCGGGGGAGGGGGGGCGGTGCAGGGCGCCGCTCGGGCAGTCGGAATCGGGCGTGGCTTAGGATTGGGCGCCTCCCCGAGCGCCGGAGCAGGGAGCCAGGACTGCGGGACGCGGGCGGTGAGAGTCAGGCCCCGGGGCGCCGCCTGGCAGCTCCGCGAGCTCGGATTCGCGCCGGCATGACGGGCTCGCTGTTCAAGGGAAACTTCTGGGTGAGTCGCTCCGGCGCCACTTGGTGACCGCGCGCTCGGGCGTCCGGCGGGGTGCGGGGTGACGCGGTCCCTCGGTCCTGGCCCTGGGGCCCCGCGTGTTGCGAGTCCCCGGACCACGGGCCATCCCCTGCTGCGCGCGTCTCCAGCCGCGCCGGCCCCTGAGGACGGGGGCAGCCGGGGACTCCCGAGAGTCCCAAGGGAGGGAGAGACCCCGGGGAGGAGCGACCCGTCCGGGACGGTCGCCGCTGGCCCCAGGCCGAGCCGCAGGAGGCCTGGAGGGCCCCGGGCAGGGCCCGAGCGCTTCCTTGGCTGACAGCGGGCGTCCCGGCGTGACCTCTGCTAGGAAACCCGCGCTCAGAGGGGCTCCCCTTGCTGGAGCTCTGCCCTGTCTCCTGAGCTCCTCCTCAGGCCATCCCCGGCACATCGGGATACCCCAGGGTCCATGTGGTCACTCCAGGGAATCTGTAACCCTACGTACGAGCTGATGGGACCGGCCCAGTCTGGAGGCAGCAGGTCTGCCTGTCCCTTCCTCTGTCCAGTCCTCTTTGCCGGTTCCTTCACTCCCCAGGGGCTCCGCAAGGGTCCAGGTCACCTTGTTCAGTGGAACTGCACTCCTTTAAGACAGGAGCAGGTGCTGGGGCCGGTGGCTCATGCCTGTGATCCCAGCACTTTGGAAGGCTGAGGCAGGAGGATCCCTTCAGTCCGGGAGTTGGAGATCAGCCTGGGCAACATAGCAACACCTCCTCTATACAAAAAAAAATTTAAAAAGTAACTGGGCATCGTCGCACGCGCCTGTAGTCCCAGCCACTCGAAAGGCTGAGGTGGGAGGACTGCCTGAGCCCAACAGGTGGAGGCTGTGGCTACTGCACTCAAGCCTGGGCAACAGAGTGAGACCCAGACTTAAAAACAAAAACAAACAAATATACAAATAAAAACAGGAGCAGGAAGTGCAGCCTCAAAGTTGACCCACAGCTGCCAGGAAGCCCCCAGCCCTTACTTGGGGGTCCCACTACCCCCCCCTTAGTCACAGCTGCCTCGTCATCCCTCTCCCCCTGGGCGGAGAAACCTGGCTGGAGCCCTCAGGGGTGCAATGTAGACTCCACCTGTGAGGCTCCTCGCTGGAGTATCTGGGGTCCCCTAGGGCACTGCCCTCTGAAGGGGTGGGGCTGAGCCACCTCTCAGAGTGGCCAGAACCTCACAGCTGGCCCTCAGGGGAGTCCTGGGAATTGCCAGGTGGAGTGCAGGGCTTGGGGGGTCCTGCGGGGGGCACTGCAGAGGAAGCCCTGTGTTTAGTGAGCTGGAGAATGAGGTACAGGCCAGAAACTGGGTCTCAGGAAGAAACTAGCTTGCTAGGGAGGAGGACGATGAGGAGGCAGAAGCATAGGCAACACTCAGCCCAGGTGTAGTGCCAGCAAAGCCTTTGCCCAGCCCCCACCCCCCAGCACCAGGCCAAGGTTGCAGGATGAGGTCTCGGTGGAAGGCGGTGCCTGGGAGGGGACAGGGCACCTGACAGAGGGGTTGGAAGTACTTTCTTTTTTTTTTTTTTTGGAGTCAGAGTCTCACTGTGGTCCAGGCTGGAGTGCAGTGGCACGTTCTTGGCCACCGCAGCCTCGACCTACTGGGCTCAAGCAATCCTTCCACCTCAGCTTTCCAAGTAGCTGAAGTCACAGGCACGCCACCACACCCAGCTAATTTTTTGATTTATTGTAGAAACAAGGTCTTGTCAAGTTGCCCAGGCTGGTCTCAAACCTGCCAGCTCAATCAATCCTCTCGTGTCTGCCTCCCAAAGTGCTGGGATGACAGGCACGAGCCACCACACCCGGCCCATATTTTTTTTTTTTATTTTTTTGAGCAGGAATCTCACTCTGCCACCCAGGCTGGAGAGCAGTGGCACGCTCCTGGCTACCGCAGCCTTGACTTACTGGGCTCAGACAATCCTTCTGTCTCAGCCTTCCAAGTAGCTGGAACAACAGGCACACGCCATCTGTAGTCAGCTACTCGGAAGGCTGAGGCAGAAGGATCGCCTGAGCCCAGGAGATCGAGGCTATGGTGAGCTGTGATGGCGCCACTGCACTCCAGCCAGGATGAGAGAGTGAGACACTTACTCAAAAAAAAAAAAAAAAGGATTACACTTGTAATCCCACCATTTTGAGAAGCCTAGGTGGGAGGATTGCTTGAGCTCTTGTGTTCAAGAACAGCCTGAGTGACAGAGTGAGACCTCTGACTCAAAATTTTTTTTAAATGGTTATAATCACAGCATCCATTCCATAGGACTGGTGTGCGGGTTTAATACAGTTCCTGGCACATGGAGAGCACCTATTGTTACTAGCAGCACAGAAGTGACAGTTAAAATAAGTAGGTGACAGCTACCAAGGAGAAAGAAGGAAGAGACAAGACGTCTACAAAGAAGCACTCCTGGCAAATGCCTGTGTCTATGGAGGAGGAGACAGGTGGAAAAATGGAGGGAAAAGTGGGGAAACGACCAGAAGGAGCAGCACAGGCTGAGAGCACTGTCTTCCAAGGAAGCAGGGAGACCTTGACTCCCTTAGGTCCACGTGCTGGAAAAGGCATGAGTCAACTCACACTTTATAAATAACCTTGTTTAAATGCTCCATGAAAATATTGGGTTAAAGGAATCTTTTGGTGGGTCTATTTCAAAAGGAACTGATCAGTGTGTTTTAAAACTGGGATCCTGGCTGGGTGCTGTGGCTCATGCCTGTAATTTTAGCACTTTGGAAGGCCAAGGCGAGAGGTTTGCCTATGCCCACGGGTTCGAGACCAGCCTGGGCAACTTGGTGAGATCTCATCTCTACAATAAATCAAAAAATCAGCCAGGTGTGGTGGTGTGTGCCTGTAGTTCCAGCTACTTGGAGGGCTGTGTGCCTGAGCCCAGCAGTAAGTGTGCCACTACCCTCCAGTCTAGGTGACAGAGTGAGACTCCGACTAAAATAATAAATAAGTAAAGATAAGTGAATAAAACTGGGATGAGTCCCAAATGCGTGGGCCTGATTTCAGTGCCAGCTGCATGTTGCCATTCTCCACCTTCTGGTTGCGACTTCTTTGTTCCGTGTGGTTAATTGACAGTGCCTTGTCAGAATAAGGTGGTAACCACAGCCAGGGCTTCCAGAACTCCAGGGAAACGTCAGGGCCACAGTGAGGATGAATTCCAGTCATGGACACGACCAGACACAGGTGTCCTTCAGACATGGACATGCACAGGTGGCCGAGAACCTGCCCCAGGGGAGGTGGATCAGAGCGGGGTTCTCACACCTGGGGATTTCCTGACTGGTCACCTGGGCGTGAGGCGGTCCTTCCCGATCCCACAGCTTCCTGGTTGCTGTCCCAGGCTCTTGGTGCCTGGGAAGGGTGGGGCCTTTCCCTGCCTGGGGACCGGCTGAGCTGGCTCACTGCTCTCTGTCTAAGCCGGTGTTTCTTTGCTGCAGACCTTTGACCAGATTGGAATCTGTCGATCTAGAGCTTTGCAGTGTGAGCTGGTGCTGTGTCCGGTTTTGCTCATGGCTTTTCTCTCTACAGCTGTCCCCTGGCACCTGTACAACCCCGCAGATGCCCAAATCCATGGGTGTTCAAGTCCTTCATGCAAAATGACATACTGTTTGCATATAACCTCTGCAACCCACCTGTATATTTTAAATCTTTTCTAGATTACATATAACATCTAATACAATTTTTTTTCTTTTGTTTTTTGATATTTTGGGGTTTTTTGTTTGTTTGTTTGTTTATTTTTTTAGTTGGGGTCTCATTCTGTCTCCCAGGCTTGAGTGCAGTGGCACAATCATGGCCACTGCAGCCTCGACCTCTTGGACTCAGGTGATCCTCCCACCTCAGTCTCTTGAATAGCTGGGACTACAGGCATATGCCACCGCATATGGCTAATTTTTTAAATTTTTTGTAGAGATGAGGTCTTGCTATGCTGCCACACTGGTCTCAAACTCCTGGACTCAAGCCACAGCCTTGACCTCTTGGGCTCAGGTGATCCTCTGACCTTGGCCTCCCAAAGTGCTGGGATGACAAATGTAAGCCACTGCACTTGGCCTTGTTTTTGTCTTTGAGTTGGGGTCTCACTCTGTCACCCAGGCTGGAGTGCGGTGTCACCATGACAGGTCACCACAGCCTTGACCTCCTGGGCTCTAGGGATTCTGCCACCTCAGCTCATACAACATTAATACCATGTAAATAACTGTTACACTGTTGTGTTTTTTATTGTTGTATTTTGGGGGGAATATTTTCCTTCTGCAGTTGGTTGAATCCCTGGCTGTGGCTGTGGATGGCAGACTGTATGGTGCTCTAGCTCTAGGGAAGGGTGGGGAGTGCCATATGTATATATGGCAGAGAGAGAGAGGGAAAGAGAGACAGAGAAGAAAAGAAAGAGAGGTGATCACAACAGACTCCATACTGACCCCAAGTGATATTTTATACCACGTTTGGGCTGTTGCTATAATTTTTTTTTTTTTTTTTGAGTTGGAATCTCACTTCATCACCCAGGCTAGAGTGCAGTGGCACACTCATGGCCACCCCAGCATCAACCTGATGGGCTCAGGTGTTCCTTCAGCCTCAGCCTTCCAAGTAGTTGGAACTACAGACACATATTACCACACCTGGCTAATTTTTAAAATTTTCTGTGCAGATGAGGTCTCACCAAGTTGCCCAGGCTGTTCTCAAACCCGTGGGCTCAGGCAATCCTCTCACCTCAACCTCCCAAAGTGCTGGGTTTACAGGCTTGAGCCACCACGCCCAGCTTGTTGTTCTAATTTTTTTTTTTTTTTTTGAGTTGGAATCTTGCTCTGTTGCCTACGCTGGAGTGCGGTGGCATACTCATGGCCACCCCAGCGTCCACCTGCTGAGCTTTGGTGATCCCTCTGTCTCAGCCTTCCAAGTAGCCAGAACTACAGTATACACTTTTCTAAGCTAATTTTTCACTTATTGTAGAGACGAGGTCTCGCCAAGTTACCTGGGCTGGTCTCGAACCTGTGGGCTCAGGC